ATTAGGGACGGCTAGCGCAGATAGCCCTCGTGTAGCTTTGCGCGAAATTCAAAACAAACAAACAAACATACATTTGTATTGTTATTTGGCGAGAAGGAGGTTTTATGCTATGTTATAAGTACTAACGTCAGTAATTTTATTAAAGTTTTAGAACAGTTTGAGCCATTTATAAAGAGTGAGTTAGGATAAAGTTATCGAGTGAGTCTTTTATTGTAGATTATAGAGTTGTTAATTTAGTAGGTCTGTTAAAAAGCAATTGTTTCACGATTTAGCCAATTTGTGTACTGTTGTGATCCAGCTAATTAGTTTAGTGCTGCACATTTTGAATTACAAGAGTTACAAAATTAGCGATTGAATGAAATTTCTGTTTAGATGATGTTTATTTGTGAAATTAAGGCTACCATTAATTACATAAAACTGTGAAGACTGGAAAAGTTTTGAACTTTTAGCCAAGGAAATAAAATACTTTTGTCATCATTACATGGAATGGATTTTACTCTCTTATTTTACTGAATAATACAAAAGAACGTTGCTAAGAATAAAAACCATTACACAGCATTAGTGTCAGAAATGGGCGTTATTCAGGTAAAAATATAATAGGATATAGACTGAATTATTGTAAGTGTTTCAGCAAAAACTGATTTACCTTAGAGGGACAAGATAAGTCTGCAGAATAATGGGAGATTCAAATAAGATATTTATGACTAAGTGATTCTGAGTTTCCTGAGAAGGAAATAAAGAGAATGAACACATTGGTACAAAAATAAAATGAATGACTTTTATTTAATATATACAAACACGGAATGTGTATTTGCTTATGTACAATGGATGGTTACTTTACTTGATTGTAAACTATTTTCTCTCCAAACTGCCTTGGTGAGATCCTATTCCAGAGTGACTAAACCTAATGTTACTTAGGTAAATCAATAAAATCAAACTTGTCCAGTGTGACTAGAGTTTAGCACGTGACTAGCCATTCCCATTCAAACATGAGGGAGGTTGTAACCTCTGGAAATTGCATGTGATAATTAAAGAAAAAAATATATTATTTTCAAAATATCACAAACACACATAAAAGGAATTCTCAGTGAAACAATAAAAAAATAAAAGACCTTTTAATAAAAAAAATGCAACAACAAGCAATGGGACTACAAAATAAAAAAATATAGTAACTAGGAAGATCTACTAATAAAATACATGTAGGTTAACGTAGGTAGAAAACAAAATACACTAAAATGTCAATAATAATATCAAACATGGATAACATTGCCTGCTATCAATGTGTATGTACAAGGTGCAGCTTTATTGCTATAGGTCCCAGAGAAGAGAATGACAGAAAACAAAGGTAGCCAGAATGGAAGCACCTTAGTGACTGTTTTACAATGTATTAACTACACATGTACAGAATAACTCACAAATTTCTAAAATACTATGTTGAATTAAGAAGACAGAAAATGCATAGTATGCTTGTATACCACCCTTTTCCTCCACTCTTCACTTCATGTTTGTCTTCAATCCGACATTAGTCTTAACTTTATAATCATTAAATCTATCCATACTCCTTTCAAGGAGTATGGTAACCATCTCTTGCCCTTGCCAACCTTGTAACAAAAATACACTTCAAACATTACATTGGTATTACTCTTTATCAATTACACAATTTCGATTAATGCTACACAATATAAATCAAAACCTTCTAATAATAAAACAAGTTCAGCAAAACTGAAGTAGTAACAATCAAATTACATAAAAGAAAATCCTTTAACAAATATATTACACATAAACCCCTTTAATCACCAATATTGCAGCATGAGAAAATACCATTTGACACTGAACATTGGTAATTATAACATTGCATAAATATCCTTTAATAGTGGATTACTATATAATAAAAAAATTAAACCTTTTAATAATTATTAATTGGTACAATTTCATGCTTTGAACAATGATAGTCAATCGCTCTCTAAATCAACCAAAATATCTCTTTCACATTAGTCAGACATTAAAATAAACCCTCCATTGTTAAACACAATAAAAGAGAAATCAACTCTTTAACTATATACATTCGTACATAAATTAAACCCATAAAGACATACATCAAAAACAAAGAATCAGACTCTTTTAATACACATACAGTTAATACATGTTGTTTAAACCCAGTATAACCCTTTCAATAGTAATAGAAAAATAGACTCTTTTTTTTCAAAATATTACAAACACATATAAAGGAAACTCTCAGTGAAGTAATCAAAAATAAAAAATAAACCTTTCAATACAAAACTAGGGGGAAGACACGTGGTTTGATATGAAACACGTTTTTGTTTTGGTTGTGGTATTTTGTATTTAAATGCACAAAGCTTATAACATGTAAGGACAGTGCTCTGTATTTAAAGTAATTAAAACAGTTAAATGACCTGCCTAGAATACTAATGTATTAGGTTAGGTATGTAGAGCTTTGAAAGAATCTGATGGCTGTGTGGGATATCTCAGTGACTGTGAGGTTAAACCTATTCAACAACACGTGATACCCACAAAACACCTCTAGTTCAAAAGACACTTATCATTAGACTTATCTAGTAAGAGACACTAAATCTAGTAACACTTACAAAACCTGGGTATAGGGACAAGTATTAAAGCTCAACAGGGTATTGGTATTGATACTCTAAGTGTCTATAAACAAATTAATATATTCACACACAGAACCTTGACACATAAACACTGTTGTCTGAAATGGGGGGTTGAGGGATGACAGATGTATTCGCCAAATACCTTTCTCTTTGCAATGCATAGTACTATCTACACCCACTCCTTCCTTACATATATGGTGATGTCATCCATACTTCCCTACTTCCAATTTTATTTTTTCATAGTTCAACGAAGTTTAAAAAGTTTCCCATGCACACATACATATCACTTTTTTTAATTATATAGATGCAACATTAAATAATAGGACTACAAAATCATAACAATCTTGACTCCTTTTTCAATGGAGCTGGTGTTGGCATCTGGGGTGTCTTTGAGCCCCGTGCAAGTTCAGTGCAAGTATACACTTTTTTTCCTATCTTCCAGGACAATGTCCGGGCAGAGATATCACCAGCATAAGCCGTGGCAAGAAAAACATGAAAGGAGTAGGATAGCTCTGTCTACTTACTGGGTACCAGTTGTTTTGTTTCTTGCATTGCAATACTGAATATGTGGTGGTTGGGTAATCTTTCATTGAACTTGAGGTTGGAAAAATGTAGGTGTCTGAGTCAAATGTTCTGTCTGAGGTTTAGCCATTAAACACCTACTCTTCTCTTATAACCACCTTGAATTTATCACTTTTTACCTTATCACAACAACAACTACCTCAGTGAGAGTAAGAAGATAGTTCACACCCATATTATTCCTCATCATCTCACTGGGTAGCCCGTCCACAATCTTATCAATGAGGATATCTTCATGATATGCTGAAGCTACTGCAAGATATGCTTTACTGTGCAAACCCAGCAGATCATCTGTGTAAGTAGCAAACTTCTCTGTGGTAACTCTCTTCAGAGCCTTGTTCTCTGCTCAATGGATTGTTAGATTTTCCACCATGTTGAACTTTCAGCACAACTAGCCAAAAACTGTTAAACTGATTAAAGATTAGGCCTGGACCATCCAAAATCAAGATCATGCATTGTGCAGACTATCTTGGAGACCAGTCATTCCAAGCAGTTTCTGCCTGAGATGCTCCAGAAAATGGACCAAATCTTTCTACACTGCATCCTTGAATGTTGGAGGTAAGATATGGTTTCCTCACTTATGGGGCTCCATAATTGAGCAAGTTATGTTAGAATTATTGATTGGTTCTGTTATAGTAGATTATAGAGGTAAC